GCCTGAAGCACCCTTACCATCCCGCAGAGTGGTTTCCTGACTTCCCTTCCCACAACAGCCAGGTACTGCACTTCCAGAAATCCCTCTTCATAGGCCCTACTTTCCTCCTAGGGAATCTCTGCAGCCATATACTGCCCATGGCATTCCAGTACCCAGCTCCACAGAGGGAAAGTCCTGAAGTTCAAATCTCAGGCTCTTAACTTGCCAACGGTGTGATCTTTAAAGTAATCTCTCCCCTGAACTTGAGTTTCATCATAAGCAAAGTATGGCTCTTTTGTATGAACTTGGAGACACTGTGACAAAGCACTCAGAAGGTGGCAGGTGCTAAACAGCAGGCAGCTCGCATAGCCTGCCATGCATTATCCATTAGAGGCCCAAGCAGGGTCCTTTAGGATGCATAAAAAAAGAAAGAAATGGATGATGATACATGGACAGAAAGGCAGCCAATCAAGAGATGGAGCAAATTTGATAAATATACCTACAAAGCACACTTCCAATTGTGTTAACTTTTGTTTGAAAATTTTCATAAGACACTGTTGGAAGACTGAGACCCTGCATTTTGACATATATCTGCAAGTAAGGATTCAGGAGATGTGTTATATTGCTCATCTAGAGTGTTCCTAGCTTCACATTCCATCCAATCTGTGTCTCTTACCAGGTGGGTCCATAGGGCTCTGTGACCTCACACAGATCCACCCTGTAGCCCCAGGGAGATGGTCACATCTGCTCAAACTGACCAGACTGACAAGCAGGACCCAGTGAGTCTACAAAGACAACCCACTTTCTCTTTGCCATACATTTCACCCATGGCCTCTCCTTCAGTCTGGGATGAGACAGGCTTAAGCTTGACAGTGATGGATGGCTGCTTTCAAGCGGCAATGCACACACAAATCACCTTGGATCTTGTTAGAAGGTCACCTGGGTCTAGCAGGTTTGGGCTTGAGATTCCACATTTCCAACGAGCTTGGGGTTTAAACTGTAGCAGCTGCTGGATACATATCCCAAGAGGTCCTGGGCCAGAGGCTCTCCATGCACGTGGAGAGAGGCTATAACCACACACCTGGTCCCACCCTGCACCAATCCAATCGGAAGTCTAAGGCTAAAGTTAACCGGTAAGCCCCACTTGCCCAAGATCAGATAACTTCCTGGAATGATGGGGATTGTTGTTCATGTAAGATAACAAGCCACATGTTTTTACTTCAGTAAACAAGGTTGGTTGCCCAACTGCACAGGACATGCTTGACCAGACGTAGGCAGAAGGTGCATAGGCAGGAAGTACGTCAGGATGTATGTTTGTCCTGAGTGAACCATGGTGGGAAGTACCACCCATGGCCTTGTGGGTTCTGCCTTTATGAGCACCTGACTAACCTAATTCGGTGCCATTTTCTGGGAATCCTGGGTACGGACCTGGCCAGTGTTCCATCTTCCTGGCCAGTATTAATAAAGCTTGCTTCAACGGGATGATTGTGGATTTGGTCTCTCTCCTTTCACTTCTCAGGTTTAACAGAATCACTGGGGTTAGGGCCCAGAGGGTGATCCCTTTCCAGGAGCTCTGAAGGATTTTCTGTTCTCTAGCTAAGCATCCTTCCTCTTACCACTTGGCTGCTGGGAAAATCTGGTGATGACAGAGCAGGAGGATAAACACCCCCAACCCCACACTGTATGGTCAGCCCTGGAGGCAGAAGACAGCGCAGTTCTTGTCTGTCTGTGAGCCCTGCCTCCTCTCTTGTACCCACAGCACAAGCACAGTGCTTTTGCCATTTCCAACAGGCAACTGCGCTGCAGGAAGCCATGGCTGTGTTGACTGTCCTCTGAACCCTGAGGCTTCATTCTCACAAGAAGCCTGGACACTGTTGGGCCAAGGAGAGTTGATGAAAAACCTCCAGCCTTGGACTCTTTGAAGTCTGCCTGGTTTTTCATACTATCTTACATTTACTTTTAAAAGACACATATCATTTATAAATGAGTTTGCATTGGGAATCTGTAAATATACAGTCCCAGTGTATGATTACTGACATTTCTCCTTCACAGTGAAGGTTCCGGGAAGGGTGAAATATCTGGGTTAGAAAACATTCAGGGCCCTGGAGAGCTGGCCTTGGTCGGCAGACAAACTGCAGCAAAATGTGCCTGAAGCTTTACAGAGGCTCAAGCCCCTCCCTTTCCTATGACCTGTTCAGTCAGAGGAACCACAGGGCAAGACAGTCAGTGAGCAGTTGGGAGCAATGGCTACCCCAGGGAAAGACTGGGGTGAACCACAGAAGGCACAGAAGGGGACAATTCTTGCCACAGTGTCCGCTGCTGTCACCCTTCTGCCCCGTAGGGTCAAATGTTTCATCCCATTGCCTTCAGAAAGGAGGGCAGCAGCAGGAGAGTCGACTTTCAAAATTGGCAGATCAGTTTGAAAAGATAACAGGGCACAGAGAGCCTCGGTCACCAAATGGCAAGGGTGCTAACTCCCACAGGAATTGCCACACCCGTGCTCACTCACAGCTCACTATGAAAGAGCTGAATGGAGGATGATACGAACTTGCTTCAATGCACTTCTTGCTGATAAAGAAAAGGGGAAAAAAAAAATCCAGTTTCTGACTTACATAAAGAAATGAGTTGTATTAACAGTTTGTGTGTCTTCCATGTCCATGGGTATCGACCAGACTAAACCTAAGTGCAGGGGGTGGGGAGTGTAGCCATGCTGACCACCAAAGCCAGCCGGCCACTGCTGGGCAAGGCGAGGCAGCCTGGGCAAACCTGGACAGCAGAAAGGGGTCCATCGAAACCTACCACTCACTCCCTAAAAGAGCTGAGGCTTTTAAGTGCCTAGGAGATAGCCAAGTTTACCCATAATGGGGTTGGAAGCATGGCAGAGGCAACAGGCAGAAGCAATCAATCGCATCCCTGCAGATGGTCAGACTGCTGACTGAAGCAGAAATGGCTCATAATCAATGTGCTTGGAAAGTGAAAGTGGGAGTGCTGTGAGCACTGTAGCCAAAGGCCAGGCTCCGGACGCTTGGGCGAGCTGCCTGCCTGTGCACTCTTGCTTTTTTGGCAACTGAGAACCAAAGGCATGTCAAGTGAGGAAGGAAGGGACTCAAAAACCCCAGAGAAGCAACACATGAAACCAGAGTTTCCTTATATGAACTAATATGGAAAGGAAACAGGAAAGTCTGCCCGCACCCACCCCTGTCAATCACCTATCAAGCCAGCGCTAAGATGGACACTGGAGTTGGATTCGGGGGCTACCAGGCTTGTGCCATACAACAGTACCTAGCTTGGGCTCCCTCCCCAAAGGGTCAACCCCAGTCTACAAACCTCATCAGAGGCTGGCCCCACCCAACATTCCTAAAGTCATTCCCCTGGGCTCAGGATGCTCGAAAAGCCAGAGACCTAGCTTAGAAGCACGAGGCTGGAAGCTCGTAAGCAGTCACAGATGGAAAGAACCCACAGGGACAGACCTCATCTAGCACTCTGGACTAGCTATACCTAGAACCCAGGGCCTTTTCAGTTGTATGAGTAACACATTCCTTCTTTGACTTGAACTTGTCTGAGAAGGGTGCCTATCACTCACACCTGAAAGAATTCTACATTAATGCTCTCTCTCTCCCCCAGTAAAGCCCACCTTTTTACAGTAGGCCTCATCAGCAAAACTTAGAACTCTCGTGTAGCATCTACGTGAATACCCAGCCAGCTTAAACTTGCAATTGTTAATTCCATAAAATATCCAAGAATGCCATAGGAAGGCCTAGGTGAAGAACAATAAGGTGCCCTGGCCCCAACCCCTCTCTTTGAGCCCTGGGTCCAGGTACCCTCCTCACGGAGGGAAACAAGGTATGGGTCAGGACCTACCCTCAGTTCAGCTGAGGCTCCTCCAAGGGCAAGGTACTCCTGGGAAGACTGTCTTTTAGCAACCTTCTAGGGCCCTGTTCTGTCCCTAGCGAGAGTCCCCTTCTTATCCACCCCAGGCTTCACTCTGTCCTCTGCTAAGGATGACACCATTGCAATAGTTCACTGACCACTGTGCCCTCTTCACTGGCCAGGTTAGTGTCCAATGCCCCATCACACCTGTAACTGATTTGTGTGGATGAGATGGGCCTGATGCCCCCTTTACATGATTTGATGGGAAAGATCACAGTGGGTCTATAGCCAGACCTGGCTACTTCAGCCCCTACCCCCAACAGCCCTGAGCTACAACAGTCTCTCTCATACTGTAAGAGAGATTCAGGGCATCCTCTGGGCACAGAGGTTACCGTCACCATCCTTACTGATGAGAACCCTGGTCTCTACAGACCTTCCACCTTAGGTCTGAGGTCTGGTTCCCTCTGTGGCAGTCCTCACTTTATATGAAAGCTGTCAGAAGGAAGGACACTGCCTCAACCAATCCTCAGTGTCCACCCAAGAGGCAGGGAGGGGTCCAACCAGGAAGAAGAGCCAATGTGCTAAGGACTACCTGCCTTCCATGCCCTACAGCACGCATACTCTCTAACACACCACAACCGTTACATCTGGGCTGCTTGTATTAAAGTTGACATCTTGATAAAGAAAAACTGTCCTGGAGTTCCATGCTGCTCTCAGAGCTCAGTTGTTGTCTTTTAAGACCAAACCCAAGAGTCCTGGAAGGTCAGTTCCCAGAGATTTTGAAGCAATGGTGTGGATCAAGACCCCTCACATCTAAATCTTGACCCTCTCTACCTCTGACTTCCCTGAGCTTAGCTCTTCTGTAAGCAAGGTGTCCAACTCCAGAGACCCAAGTAGATATGGGCCAAGTTCTTAAACCATGTCCAGGATACAGAAACACTATGCAAGCACGCACAGCTCAGTCACTGCATTCACCAGGGAACCTCGAGCAAGTCCACCTTCTCCCTTCTCTTCTCTTCCTTTTGACACTCTGTTCCTCACTTAGCCATGCCAAGGGCTGGCTTTTTCACAGAGCCATAAGGATTTCCCCAAAGGCCATAGAGACCATACATCATTGGCTTCTTGGAAGCAGACTCCGCCCAGATACTTACCTGTAGGTAGCCACCTCCAAGCTGAGGCCTGTCTTCACCTGCAAGAGCTCCTGGTACTCCCGCAGCCGGTCAGCCATGGCCAAGGTGAGGGCTTCCTTCTCATCCTCCAGGCAGTCAATCACCCTCTGAAGACAACAAAGAACCTTTAACTCTCCATGCCAGGGCTTCATAGACTAAGCTAAAGAGACCAACAGTGCAGGGCATGAAAAGAGATATAACCTGTGGAAGGATAGTTTCGTATCATGAATCTCTTGCAGATGGAAGGTTCTTTGTCTACTGCATATGGAGGATTTCTATAGGATAGGTGTTTTTTCTCTTTGAACTTCCTTATAAAACAAAGACTTAGTCTATCAAAATCGCTTTTGCTTCTGACATCAGGCCACATAGGTGATCCAAATACATCCAACCAGTCAGCTCAGAAGCTATTTAAACATTGGCCATGACCAGAATTTTTTTATAATACTTAAGACAGAAGTCATTCTCACGTGGGTACTGAGGACTGAATATAAGTCCTCTGCAAGAGCAATAAACACCCTTAATCTCTGAGCCATCCTTCATTCTCACTTTAAAATATTTTTAAAGCAAAACTCACTTAGAGTTTAAAGCAAAGAGACACATTAAGAATCGTTAAATAGGGGCTAGAAAGACGGTTCGGTGGTTAAGAGCATTTGATCCTCTGCACAGGACCTGGGTTCCATTCCCATCACCTATTTGGGGCTCACAACATCTGGAGTTGTAGTTCCAGGGGACCCAGCGCTCCTCTACACCCTCTGAGAGTACCAGGCACACACGAGGTATAGGAACACATAAATAAAACAATCTAAAAATATTTTTTTAAAAACCCATTAACGTCTCAGGGCATGTCATGTTAACAGATTCTAAACCTGGCTTTATAGAGCAGATAAAGCAGTCACCACAGCAGGCCACCTGCCACTCTTTGACGTCACACTTGGCCACAATATGCATTCCCCCTACAGTTAAGTCTCCATTTAAAAAACCTCTGTTCCCCTGATTTAGAGGGAATCTAAATTCAGGTACGAAGTTAGAATCTAAAAATGTATACTCTGCCCCACCGTGTGTGTGTGTGTGTGTGTGTGTGTGTGTGTGTGTGTGTGTGTGGTGTGTGTGGTGTGTGTGTGCGCTGAACCTTTTAAAAAGAGGGTCTCACCACAGCCCAGGGCAACCTGTAACTCACAAATCTCTGCCCCCAGACCCCAGAGCACTGACATTACAAATGTGTGCCCTCGTGCTTGGCTTGATACCTTTTCTAATGGAAGAAAGTTGACCTAAGCATTAAAACTTGAGGATTCATCAATTGTCCTTCGAAAAGAAGCTTAAGGGTGCTAAACTGCTTAGGAAAAAAAAAAATCAGATGAACTCAGTTCTCTACCCACAGTTCAAAATTGTGGAGCCATGCCACGGCCCTGTCCAGGAAGACACTCTCCCCTCCCCCAGAACAAAGGCTTGTTCCCTGCACCCCACCCCACAGAATATGAACAGGAAAATAAAACTGCACTGAAGTTGAAATAAACATAGTTCCAAGCAAATTTCCATGTGAGTCAACTTTCCCCAAATGGTGAAAGGAAAAGCTGTTGACTTCTGGAGGCAGAAATAAAATCACAACCAATCCTGCCAATGGGAGGAAGCTTCAGACTCTGGCTCTGCTCTGCCAAAACTTTTCATGCCCTGGGTTAGGCTAGGAGTGGTGAGGCCTCCCCACACAGCCTGGTACATCCAACCCACGCAGAAGCAGTCTTATCCAAGGCTTCAAAAACTCAGGGGAGGGCTGAGCCTTTTAGCTGCTATGCAGAGAACTTTCCGACAACATCATCAGCAATGTTAAGCTCTAGCTCTATGTCATGGATGGTAGAGATCTCGCTGCTGCTGCTGCTGCTCTCTACAACAAGTTTGAGCCCTCCCTGGCTGAACATAGCAGACAGAATGGCCAGAGCTTGCTAATTTCCTAGTCACTGAAGATCTTAAAAGTTGGAGCTCAAGGGAACTTAAATACTAGGATAGCTCATTCATACCCAAAACTAAACATATTAAAAGGCTAAGTTGAGCCAGATGTGGTGGCACATGCCTTTAATTCCAGCACCTGGAAGGCAGAGGGAGAAGGATCTTTGTAAATTCAAGGCCAGGCTGGTCTACATGAGTGGTCACAGTGAGTGGCAGGAGGGCATTTCAGAGGCCTCTCAAACTGGCTGTGTGTAAACTGAACGCAGACCTCTGATCTACACAAATCTCCTTCAGCAAGGCGTGCCCTTCTTCTGGTTACTCATCCACAGTTCTGGGGTCAACTCTGATTATGCCCTGCCTTTCTCTTACTCAATCCACTCTATCAACCTGTCAGTAAACCTTGAAAGTAGGGCCTTTCCCTAGTTCCCCATTAGGCTCCTGGTCTAAGCCTCCTGCTGCCTCAGTTGTCGCAACTGTGTCTTATGAGGTCTTCCTGTCCCTACACTGGTCCAAAATAGATTATGCTGAACACGGCAAAGAACAATCCATTAAGCCATTCACTCTGCTCAGGGCTCCCTGGCGGCTTTTGGTGGAACTCGAATTTAAAAAGAGGTACCCGTGCAGCCACTCTGTGCTTGATTTACTGTCCCAGCCATGCTGGTTTCCTGGCTTCTCCCTGACTGGCGTGCACTGGTGCCACCTCAGGACATGTACCATCATGGCATGTCCTCTCTCATTTTGTTATTTTTCACTTGCTTTATCCCTGGCCACAAAGAATGAGACTGGCACCCTGACCGTTAATTGGATAAATTAAATTCACTCAGCCAATAGCAACCTCTGAGCTGCTTTTCATTTTCACAGATGAGGAAACAGGACCACATAAGGGTTAATGAGTTTAATCGTGAGGAAATATTGTGACCTGGGATGAAGTGAGAGTCAGAATTTAGTCTGAAACAGAAAGGCTGTTTACGAAAAGGCTGAGCCTTAACTACATGGCTAGTCCTGTCTGTCTTCTTATCAAAGAAATGTCTTATTCATTTTTTTAGAGTCCTTCACAAACAGTTGGGGCTGGCAACTAAGTATTTCTAGGGTAAGGCTGGAGTAAATGGCAATACTGTCAGGGCCTTTCCGAGGCCCCTTAAAGGTCTTCCAACATCTTCTCCTGCCTCCAGGACACAGAAAAAAGCAAATGAAAGAAATAATGCTAGAATCGTACACCAGGAAGACGGTCTGAAAGCATCCTCAAGCTCTGTGATAGCAGGCCACCTCTGGGCTGGCCCTTAGAGAGAACAGTTATCATTCCACCATGCAGAGTTAAAGGTCTCTCTTGAATAAGACAGAAGAGGGGGGACATGGACCAGCGGTGAGCTGCTCACTCGAGCCTGGATGGAACTCTGTTCTGGCCACTTACTGAGTGGTGGCTTTACCGTCTGTGAAAAGGGCTAAGGAGACGGGAGTGTGGACTAAGAGTGAGTACACAGACTAGGCCCGGTACCTCCCCAGGCGGTTAGTAATGCAACATTTTAAAAGGAAGTCAGTTAAGCCAGTCTTCATATTTTCAGTCTCTCCACAGTGAATGTCTAAGGAATTTGGAAAAAAAAAAAAAAGAGGCTTGGGTTGAAACAATGTGGGTTTTTTTTTTCTCTTTAACATAATCCTGAACACTGTTTCTGATTGATGATCAACATTTCAGAATGGGATCTGAAATGCAGTTGCTTTAAGCTAACTGGGCCAAGGATCATAATATAGTTAAGACTGAGCTGGTAACATATAGCAAAAACAAAATCTCAACAAATCGAGACTGAAGAAGAGAAAAAAACCCAGGTCCTCATCAACACTGTCCTGGCTCTCATTTACAGTGGAGTGAGGCTGGAAACCAAGTCTGAAACAGAGAGATCCCAGGGTGGGTGCTGAGGGGAGGGTCCTATTGCAAGTCAGCTGTGACGTGAGGTGTGACGTCACTAGTAGTCTGGCATCCCTGTGGGAGAGCTGGACAGTGATTCTACAGCACCTCCAAGTCCCAGTCTTTCCTTCATTTGGGGAACTCTGTTTTCTATTTGCTTCACTGAAGATTTTTATTAGCGGGGAAAAGGTTCTGCTGCTAAAAACAACCTTGAAACCAAGCTTCAAGGCCCCAGAATATGCCAAATGGGGTTGGAAGGAGAGGGAGGCGCCCAAAGTCTATAACCCCAAAGAAGAGATTCCCATTGATTTGGTTTCTTATCACCCTCCGTGATCTCCCCCACTTACTCTCCAGCTCTCTGGCTACCAAAGTGCTGGGGCCCCAGAGGAAATCAAGAGATTTTCTGTTTACCTAGCCCATCACCCCAGTCATCCAAACATCTCACTTTCACTTGAAGCTTTAAAGAAAATAACATCATAGCACCTCCAATCTTCAGCTCCCGGCTGCAAACTCTTCCCTTAAACTCCTGAAGTTGTACTCCTGTTATTTCACACCAACTTCCTGAGGACCGCTAACAGTACGATTTGGGAATATTTCCAGTTCCTGCTGGGGCTGGGCGGGGGTGGGAGCCAAACACTAGGTCTGAACCGAGTGTACGAGCAACACATCAGCCACAGGTATAGCACATCATGTCAGATTAGAGCTCAGCTGCTCTGAAATGGAAACCGTTTAGATTAGTCGCTACTCGTGATAACATCTCACCACAGGGACCTGCTTTATCCTAGTTTTTACGCCACCTGCCCAGAGATCTGCCGTCAGCTCCTACTGTGAGCAAAACAGCTCTCACACACACCCCTTTTTTTTCTTCTGTACGACAGTTACTTAGTCCTCTCAAGAGAGCAAACAAAACCCAGAAAAATATGATGGCTGCCCAGAGAGCTACAAGCAGCTCTGGGCGGGATGGGGGAGGGTGTGTGTGTGGGGGGAGGCTTTGGAGCCCTGTGTAAGCATGGGCGGCCTCCAGGTTAGGCTTGGCAGTGGCTCCTAATACTCTGCCGATCCGGCTTTGAAGTCTGGGCTGAGTTTTGGGTTTCAGGCTACTAGATCTCCCCTGCCTAGAAAAGAAAGAAAGAAAAAACAAAAATAAAACAAAAGCGGAGCTAACAGGATCATTGATCAGAATGTGCCTGGGCAAGTCAGGATCTAAATGTGACACTGTAACAGATGACGGGCCCTAGGCTAGCCACTGGGACCTGTCACGTGGCACCAGCCCTCTGACTGAAGGATCACAGCACTAAGCCCTTATTCTTGGACTAGCTACGTGCCAGAATCCTGTGGCTCCATAAACAGTCAAGCTGCTGGCAGTGTGCGCTTCTCTGGGTGGAGCCCACTGGGTGCACAGGGGAGAGTGGACAGGCTACAGGGGAAAGGGCGCGGTCCCTCCCCACGGACCTGCCGCTCCTCGGCCTGGATCCCGTACTCCTCGCGCATCCTCAGCAGCTCATCCTCCAGGCGCGCGCGCAGCCGCTCCAACTCCAGCGCCTGGTTCCGCAGCGCGTCTGCCTCCTGCGCGCAAAGCCGCGCCTCGTCCTCCGCCTGGAGCCGGTTCTCCTGGCCGCGGCGCAGCGCCTGCTCCAGCTCGCGCACCTCGTCCTCGTACAGCTGCACGCTCTCCCGCCACGACTCCGCCACCAGCAGCGAGTAGCTGTCGTGCACCTCCCGCAGGCGCGGCGGGGGCGCGGCGGGGCCGGTGGTGGCGCGGGCTCGGAAGTGCATGGTGAGGCTGGCGGCGCGGGCGCGCAGATCCCGCACTTGTCGCTCGTGGGAGGCTTCCAGGTCGAGGCGCTCGGCCTCCAGCCGGCCGAGCAGCGCCTCGAGGGCGGCGCGCGCGCCCAGCGCCTCCTCCAGCTCCCGCCGCTGGGCTCCCAGCTCGGCATCCAGGCGGCTGCGGGCAGCGCTGGCCTCCGCGCCCTCCCGCTGCAGCTCCCGCAGCTCCCTCCGCAGCGCGTCGCGCTCGCCCTCGGCCAGCGCTGTGGACCAGCTTAGTTCGTCCAGCTGCTGGCGCAAGCCGCGCGCCTCGTCGGCGAAGCGCGCCTGCTCCTCGGCCCAGCGGTCCTCCCGGCTCAGCCGGCTGCGCAGCTCCTCCTCCAGCAGCAGGTTCTCGCGCTCCAGCTCCCGCACCCGGCACACGTAGTCGTAGAGCCGGGCATTGAGCTCCTGAAGCTCGGCCTTTTCCGAGCCGGTCTGCAGTCGCCAGGACAGCATCTCGCTGGGTGTACGGGGCTCTTTTCGATATACCGCTTGCCTCCTGCCCTGATCTTGTCCCCTCCAAGCCCGCCGCGCCCGCCTTGCCGCTGCCTCGGAGGCCCTCGGACTGGCGCTCTGGCGGGCGAGCTTCGCCACTTAGTGGCCGGGTCAAGCGGCGATGGGCTCGGGCCACCGCCTCCAGCCAATCAGAACGCGGCCCGCGCGGCCACTGCGACCGGACAGCGCCCCCTGCCGGAAAGAGCGGCCTGACGAGACTGCCCAGTACTGGCTCCTGGTGGCCTAGGGTAATCCCAGTGTGAGTTGTCGGATCACTTCGAGCTGGCTGTCTGGAACACCCTAAGAGGCTACAAAGTGTGGGAAGAAGCAAGCATACGAGAGGGGACCGGGGGAGTTAACCTGAGCAGGCAAGGCCTGCACGTTCAAAAAGGAAGAGAATAACCGAGTGGGTGGGAGGAGGGACCGTTGACACGGGACTGTCGTGGAAAGTTTTGGTGTCATAACAGAACTCAGTTATGTAAACATGTTTTTGTTTTAATCCCAGGTGTGGGATATGAGGCTGATTCAGATGGTCCACATCAGTAAACTATTTGCCTCCTGGGGCCTCTGAGAGGAGCTCTTTGCCAGCTGCAGACAGTTTAATTCTGAGGACTCTGGAGAGGGAATAAATGCCAGAGCCCAGAAAGAGGGGGTGGAGGGCTCCAAGAAAGGAGGAGGAGGCTGCTGCTTCTCCTGTTGCTCCTGGTTGCTCTTGCTGCATTTTGACAAGAAGTTTGGAGATATCCTGAAACGAAGATTGGATTTGCCCAAGGAACCCGACAACCCCGGACAGCCGGAAGTAGCCATGAGAGACTTATGCTCCTTCTCCCCACGCACCTTCTTTCTCTCCTACTTGGTGTTGGCGTGTTGGAAGCGATTGGGGTGGGAAAGGGAGGTAGAGGCATAAGAAACTATTTAAAAACAGCGCCTACAAAGGGCTGGGTGGGGGTGAAGATGCACCTGCGACCGATGGAGTAGCGCTGAGGGAGCCCGGAGCTCTGGGAGATGCCCCAGACGGGGGAGGAGGAGCTACAGAGCAAGCTCCTCAACTGGGGACTAAACACGCAATTATATGAGCCTACGGAGAACAATTTCATTCAGATTACCAAGGGTCTCTTATTTATCTCTAGAACCGTCCTAATATAAAACAAATTTTTACCTGTGTTTAAAATGCTGTTTCTTGGATTGTTATTTGTTGGCCCTGGGGACTGAGCTGGTGGCCATTCGTGTGTGCGAGAGTCTGTTAGGCAAATATTCAAATGTTCAAATGGCATTTTCTCCTCCCCCCAGGGCCCACCCACCTTTATTTCTCAAGCTGGCCTTGACTTGATCATCTAGCCCCAGGCCTCCAACTTGCATCCCTCCCGCAAGGCTCCGCTCAAGACTCTGTTTAAATGTTTTTGTTAACTGTTTTCAACCACAATCCTCTTTGGCAGGCAAACACCTCAAGAATTATCTGTCTAACCCTTTGACCACTTTGATGGAAGGAAATGCCAGGACGGGTTCAGAATTGGAGAGAAACAGGAAGAAGTGGGCTTTCCCTGAAATCTGGAAGTAATGATGATCTCCCGTCAGGGACTATTCAAGGATGGAGTCAAGAGGGCTCCGGATGACTTCACCCAATAATCCCACACACACAACCCTGAGGGTAGAGGGGAAGCCCAGGGTCCCACAGATAGCCTGTAACGTAAAGCCCCTAAGAGGAGGAGGGGCCTCTGTTCTGGGTTGGAGAAGTGGGAATATGAAATTTTTTCCAAGCCAGGAAGAGGTGGAGCCACGAGGCCACACCCTGCCCAGTTGGCAGGTGTTAAAAGATCTTAGACTCTTTCCCCACCACTCACAGCACACACAAGTACTGTGTCGCAGACAGAAAGCCACAGAGGAAGAGACTGACTTGTATCCTAAGTCCAGCACAGTTTTTAGGGACACAGGAAAGATCCTGGATGAGAAGGCAGAGGGGGGCTGGGCTCTCCTGGAGAAGGGGACACCAGTGGGACCAGAGCCCCCTCTAAGATGATCTTGTGCAAATGAGAGAAAGCCACCCTTTTTGAGCCCACCGTTCAGAGCCTTGTTGCTGTATCGAGCGTTCCTTGATACTGAGGCAAAGACGTCCTAGAGGTTCTGCGCCTGCATCCAAACCTTAACAAGCCTGACACATACTGTAGTCCCACTCATCTCTCCTCAGGACAGCTTCAGGCAGTGAGCCAGCTTCTTGACTGTCTGTGGTAGCCCCTGTCCTAGGCTCGGCCTTGTTTGAGGAAAACTAAAAACTCTTAGGGAAGGCTAACACACATCAGAACAGACGGGTGACCTGAAGACCAAACCAGCTCCCGCCCTGGTACTTGGTGTCTGTTAAGTCCCTCCAGGGGAGGAAATCAGAGGACTGAGTGCCTGGTGTCCTGGTGGAAATGGAGAATGAGATGCAGAGGTCATCATTTTCTCCATGCCTGTGTCTGAGAACACACCTGCCCATAGCAGGCACCACCGGGCAGAAAACAAGCAGGGAGAGGGCAACACCCCAGGGCTGGCAGCGAGGTCTGAGTTGGGTACAGTGGCAGCAGATACCTGTATGACCTGGACATGACAACCTCTCTGGGCCCATTTCCTTACCCATGTGATGAGAAGAGAGCGCCTCTATGTGAAGTACCACAGAAGTAACCTAGGGATATCCTGGGAAGCCTGTCAAACAGAGATTGCTGGGGCCTTCTGCTCCCAGGTAAAGGCGATGGTACCTCCCGGGACCACAGAGAGAACGCTGATTTACACTATCAGCTATTCCTGGCATAGCCCTCCCCTGTACCAGTCACCGTTCTGAGCTCTGAGGGTGGAAGAATAACCAGGACCCGGCCCAGGGCCTGACACAGTAAACATGGGTCGTTCTCCACCGTAAAAAGTTTGGAAGCTCAAAGCTTAGGCATCACCGGGAGACAGATGGCCGGAGAGCTGTCTCAGGAAAGCTGGGGAGGAGGAGAACACCCAGAACAGTGAGGGATGCTCAGCAGAACCCACAGTCAAGTGGGCTGGGGACCAGGGAAACTGGACCTCCAGATTCAGTACCTCCTCTGTCTCTTTCTCAGGGGGCTGCTAGAAGGACTAGCTGAGAATGAAAGGGCCTCGGGACACAGCTCCCTCATGCTCAGGTCTGTTGCATTCGAAGACATATTTGAATCCTGCCTCTCTTGCAGAACCTGGGGCTCCCACTTGCCTCTGGGTTCTTCTGGCTGTTTCCGGTGGGCAGACAGCTTGTTTACCACTGGTTCATGGAAGCACAGCAGGGGTTGGTGCAGGTCCAGGCTGCCTTTTTAAATGGTGCAACAACAGCATTTGTCATGGGAAATAAATGTTCAGTGATTTGAGCTGCACAACTCCCCCTCCCTTTGAAAAGTCATGTCATACACATTACAAATGAACTTGGGGAGGGCACATCAAGTAGCAAGGAAACAGCCCCTGGCTCATCTTCCCAACAGACAAAGATGCTTGCTGCTTCTAAGAACTAAAACCAGGGTAATTTACCTTTAAAGAAGAATAGCATGCTGGCCCTCACTACCCCTCAGAGCACCTTTCCCACAGAGGATGATAGTGGCATTCCCGGTGCAGTAACTCAGATACTGGCTTTTGTGTCCCCCTTGTGTACCTGGTGCCAGGTGGCTTCTGGGAACTTGGAAAGAAGAGACACACCACCTACCTCCCCACGCACCCACTCCTAAGACTTGAGGCTTTGCAGAGGATGTGCTTGCTCCAGTGTGCCACCATCATCTGTTCCCTCCCTCAGGGCCACCCAGCAACCATTCAACAGCCATCTCTACTCTGTGCAAACTGTTCTTCTGAACCTACTGTGTCTCAAGCAGGGCGTCGGCTTGTGCCACAAACCCCAGCTGCCCCTCCTCTAACAAGAGGATCCCCAGGTAGTAATGCCAATTTGCACCCAGCACTAGACATCAGCCATGGCTCACAGAGGTTTGTTCCCTCTGAGGCTCAAGCTGGAATTTAATTCATACAGTGAGATACGAAGAGGGTAGACTGAGTCCAACTAAGGCGCTTCAGCATGGAGCTTTGGGAAATTAATCAGGGTAAGATAAGGTCATGGGGTGGCACACCCATTGTTAGCTTCTGTTGTGTTTACCAGACTAGAACCAGAGCACAAAACTGTACTCTCCTGCTTTTGTTTGAGGGGGGCGTCTCTAGCCCAGGCTGGTCTGTAACTAGGTAGCCAAAGATGACCCAGAACTTCTGATCTTTTTACCTGCTCCCTCCTGCGTGCTAGGATTACAGGTACCTGCCACAAAGTCTGGTTTATACAAGGCTGGAGAGCAAAACCAGAACCTTGTGGGGCTTTTGTTTCAATTACTTAACTTGTAAGGGTATACGATGCAGAATGCAACATCCTTTTGTTTGTGTCCACTGACAGATGCAGTTGGATAACATTTTTTTCTCAATGTCAGGACAGAGAAGGGCAGCCAAGCTTCAACACACAATTGGTTCTCTGCTAAAACTCAACAGGGAGCACCATGAAACATACCAAGGAGAAAACATCACAACTTTAGTCATGGTTAGAGGACTCAAAATCTTTCCAGCGTGTGTTTAACTCAAAATACTTTAGAAGCAAAAAAGTAATGTCTCCAGTGGATGACGTTACAGATAGTATTGCTTGGGCCAGACCATTTAAGCGTGCAGTGTAAGCTGTTTGAAAGATGTGTACAGCTGTGTTTCCACACCACCCTCAAGAGCTGGAACACCAGCAGGTGGGGGCAGCCGGCGGCCTTTAATCCCAGCACCTAGGAGGCAGAAGTAGGTGGAACTCTGTGAGTTCAAGGCCAGTCTGGTCTACAGAGTGAGTCCAGGACAGCCAGGACAGAGAAACCCAGTCCTGGGGTCACAAGGAGGGGAAGATGTGAAACACCTAATGGACCAGAGAGTTCCCTGGTTCCTCTTCCCATCAATCCCTTCCCATTGGTCAAGCCAAGAAGCCTAGAGGCAGAACCACGGGACTCTGCACCATACAGGGATGGGGTGGTTAAGGAGTCCAGTTTTCTCTAAAATGAGAGGTCCATGA